GTTGTGTGTATTATATTCATAACTCAATATGAATAATTCATGTGGCATGATGTGGAAAATAATCAATTCACCATTTATTATCCTTATAAAACATATGCAGTCTAAGACTCAGTCAGATATGAGAATACATGCCATAAGAATAAGTGATGAATGGAGAGAGATTTAGGTTAGGCTCACTAACTAACATTATGATTTATAGGCCTAAACACTCACAACAACAGTGGTTAACAGTAAGTAATTAGTAAATTTAGTCTAACTTACTACTAATTTACTTAGTTAACTTAGACCTGCTAACTAAGCTTTACTACCTTGACCTGCCTTACCTAAGCTCACTAAGTCCAGCCTTTGGGGTCATCCATAAATGATGTCACACAAATTTTGCCGATTTTTTACCCAATCTCCCCCCATCATGACAAAAAATTAGATCCCCTCAAATATAACATCACAAATCTCTGCACCCCCACCCCAACCAGACAGAAGAAAAAATCTCTGTCCAAAATTCACCTCCCATGGATATCAAATTGCTTCAACTGTTTCTGAAACATTTCCCTAGAACAGTGGTTCTTTACCTGGGGTAAAAGCTCCCCCTGTGAGGCAAAAGACCCAAAAAATTGTATTTGCTGCCATTGCTACATGTTGGTAACTTTTAAAAAATAGTTTTTTATGCATCATGATAAGAAGCAGTCAATGTTATTCTGGTGAATTTTGTTTGCACATTACTTGTAGAGTTTTTTTGTTTACGATAAATAAATTATTTAATTATTTTCATATTTTAATTTTATAAAAATATAATTTATATGGTTGGAGTTGAGGGGAATGTTTAAAACTGAGTTGGGGTGTAGTGTTGCCAAAAGGCTAAGACCCTACCTACTCCCACCTTGGTCAACCATTTTTCGTTCCATCCGACTTCACATGGAGATCCTAATGTTATGACTCCCGTCTGCCCATTTTTATATAAATTCTCACGACTTTCAATGTCAATACTCCCATATTCTCCTCTTCAATGGCAGCCTGTAACTTGATCTGAAGGCATTTTTGGGATCTCACATACCTGCACTGATTCTTTCAGTGATTGTAGTTTAAAAATAACATAATTTTAATTCTTTCAGTGATCGTAGTTTAAAAATAATATAATTTTAATTTTTCTATCAAAGAATAATGTTAAAAATGGCTGTGTTATTAAGTAATTACGTAGATTTAAAAAAAAAAATAATGTTCTGCTTTTAATGTGACGTCACATTGCTTAAACCCCCTTCCCCCCTCATCACACATTGTCACAAAAATGTGACCCCCTCCCCACTTCGTGTGAATTCATTTAATTTATATATGGCCCATTTGAGAATTAGGTGATCAACTTATTAATTTGTCTATACACTAGATATATATATATTTTAAATATTCATTTCAAGACAAGACTAATCATTATAATGTCGTAAGTTGTCATACTGTAAATATTTACTAAAACAGAAAAAATGTATTTAAGTCGAATTAAGTCTTAGTCTACACCTACACTTATTAGTAACTGCTTAGACTAATACTACTAATAGTAAATAATAATAAAATAAGTAGTAATACTACTAGTATAGTCTTCTAGTTTGCTAATCCCTGCTCAAGAAAAAATCTCTTGGGACGCCTAAATGTCCCATTTCTAAAACCAAACACATTTTCAAATCACTAAAACTTCCTAATTTATAATATAACTTCAAGTAATATTTTGGCTAGCTGTGCATCCAGTGCCAGTAATGATGGCTGCATTTGTTGTGTTGTATTATGTTGTAAAATATGTATAAATAAATAAGCATTGACTGAAAAATTATTGTATTTTTTTTATGATATGCCTCAGAGTTTAAATTAAATTACAAAAGTGAAGGTAAATTTAAAAGATTTTTAGGTCTCAAAATAGCAAAAATGAGCATATTTCAATAAACAGTTTCCGACGGAGGCCTCCTGACCCCCTCTTTAGCTGGAGGGTATCCCCCCCCCCCCAAACCCTCCTTGGGTGTGTCCCGTTTTGTTCCAGTTCATGATTTGGTCACCCTAGTCTAAAGGATACAATTATAGGTTCACTATATCACCGCCATGCCATATCAATGCAACAATTCCAAGTCTAGAGAGTAGAGAGTAAAGTAAATGGGACCCGGGCCCCAATGGCGGCGATGGGTGTGTCGGGTCCATTTTGACTAAATCAAACAAATCGACAAATGCTATTATTCGGATGTCATAAATTGATGTAGTTTATTTTAGTTAAACTGAAGAATTAAGTTTAAAAACATATAGCCCATTCAATTATCTTTCATTTTGATACCAAATTTGGTAAAGGTGCAGTTCAGGTGCGTATATTATTTCTGTTTAAATCTCTTATTTTCCCGTGTAAACTTATGTTAATTCTTTATAAAAAGTACTTTAAAAGTTATATACCATCTTTTTATTGGAATACAACAACAATTTAACCAATTTTACGAGATTAAAAAAGTACATTTTTATGAATCTTTCGTGTTTTACGGAGCCGTTGTGGTAAATCAAGGATAACTCTTCTGTCTTTAAAGATACTTTATAAAAGTTGCCCAATTGGATGAATCTTGTTAAAATAAATGATGTATTTATTTTATAACTTTACTATCAACTATAACAGGAGTTGCCCGGGGCTGCATTCAGAAAAAAACATCTGCTACTTCCTTTTAGTTCACATTGTTATTAAACGAAATGTCAACAACAAAACAACAAAACTATAGTCAAAAAAATAAATAATTAATTTGTCTCCTATAAAAAACACGTCTTATGTAAACCTTTCGTTTTTCCCGTTTTCCGATGGCACCCGGAAGGATCATGATGGGATCCCGAACCCGATGTGATTCCGATAGAATCCTGGTCATGGTGGGATCCCGATCCCGGTAAGATACCGATCCCGGTGAGATCCGTTTCCGGTGGTATCCCAAACTAAATGAGATCCCAATCCGGTGGGATCCCGATTCCGGTGGGATCCCGTTTCGGTGAGATTCCGATCCCGATAGGATTTTGATCCAAGTGAAATCCTGATCCCGGTGGGATCCCGATCCAGTGGGTTACCGATCCCGGTGGGATACGGGTTACGGTGAGATTGAGGTCCCGTTTTGGGTGAAATCCCGTGTCGGGTGATATGCAGATCCCGGTAATTATAGGGAGCTCACATACTTGACATACGAACCCAGCTTACAAGCCACATTGCAATTGTTACGAGCGCCTTAGAGAAATTCCAGTTGTATTAACGTTATTTGTTGCCCCACAAGGTGCGCGTATAAACCAAATGCTGCACCATTAAAAATGCCTGTTGCATCAACAATTTTAGTTATTGTTTCTTGGTCGTCCTGCCATTTTAAACAAAATGATCCTACAACCAGCAATACCACCAAGCCAAAACGAGTCCGTCTTATGATATAAAAAAAATAATCACTAGCCCTCACTTTACTCAGCGCAAATCAGTCACCAGTAATAAGCGCATTTGCATACGAAAAAAGAGGAGGGGTGCTCAAATCACGGACAGCGTATTAGCAGCCTTCAGGGTGATCAGCTTCACACCAGGTCCAGGACAATGATGACGTGTGTGTCCACTGCCTTAGTCAGTGATCCACTTCTAATCTCCCCCCCCCCCCGCCCCGACTTCAAAGGACAACCCCCATATTCCGAGCTCCCTGAGAGGGGAAAAAAAAAGAAAGGTGGGGGGGGGGGGGGGGAAGGGGGGG